GAAGTTTTTAACACTCACACATTAGTGTTTTCTGTAATGTAAGAAGTTTAACACACACATTACAGTGTTTTCTGTAATGTAAGAAGTTTAACACACACATTATGGTGTTTTCTGTAATGTAAGAAGTTTTTAACACTCACACATTACGGTGTTTTCTGTAATGTAAGAAGTTTTTAACACTCACACATTACAGTGTTTTCTGTAATGTAAGGGACTTTATTACAGTTCCTTTATTTAAAAGTTATAAATTATGAGAAAACTATTTAATGTAAGAATTTTTTTAAAAACTGAAATACTATAAATTTTCTTATAATTTTCATACTTACTCAGCGTTTTTTTCCCCATTTAACTTCTCATAATGAAAAATAAAAAATAATAAAGTTCCCATCAAATACCCTCGGATACCAGAGCCAAATAACCTATAAAGTCGAGAGGCTCAACTTAAAAACAAACTGATCACTTCCAAACAAACTTATAAAATAACAACACTGCAATACTAACTGCATATTACAATTAAAGTCCTTCTAAATGACTAATTATACACTACAACATTACTTAATTAACTAACTACATCAGAAATTATATTTAAAGCTACACCAAGATATACTATTAAGCACTGCATAATAACAAAAATGGATTTTGGTGCTAAAAACCACAAGGCTGACTTTCATGTAATAGCTAAAAAAGTGCCCTACTTGTAGCGATTCAACAGTTAAAAAACAAACTAGCATGTGGATTTTAACTTTGTATCCAGGTTATTTCAACCTGCAACGGTCCCTCGAACTAATTTACTGTTCTAAAACTTGTCGCCTTTCAGCCATTTAAGTATTCCGTAAAAGGCTTAGCGCACTAACTTATCTGGTGGTCACTACTCTACAAAAACCTTTATCACATTCTCATCTTATTACAGACTTAACAGATTATCTACCTCTCAATAAATACTTTGCTCAAGTCTCTTTGTTCCTACAAAGGAAGGTTCGTGCTTAAACAATAACCTGTGAAATTTCATCTATAAACAAGATCTTACTCTTTGGTTAAACTATTTTCACCCAAATAACTTCAACAATGGGCAAAATACAAGCATTAGTACTTAAAGGAATATATATGTATAAAAAAAGTTCATGTTAACCAAAGTTTTTCTTCCTTGGTTAACACTAACACATTCAATAAAAGCTATAAATGTTGTATACGATAAAGAAAAAAAAACACAGGGTTCACTAAAGATGAGGGAATATAAAAAAAAAACTTCCTTAATTTTTTTGCACAAATCAAACAGAAAATTTAAAAATAGTTGTAAAAAAAATTTTTAATTGCAATTTATATAAATTTATTACCAGTTTTGATATATTAAGAATACTTAAGAGGGCTTACATGCGCCACCCTAGAAGAGATTTAGTACTTAAAATGTTCCTTCGATGTGTATAGATTTGAAATAATGCATGTATGTGTTGTGGAAAAACTTCACCGTGGACAGTTCGAGTTTACAGGTCAACGTCATTTGAAACAGAAAAAGAAACGACCTACAAAAATCAAAAGTGTGTAGAAGATAACTTTAGAATGAAGAATTTAGCATATATAAATATATGATTGTTTTATTCATAAGACCCCCTCTACTGATAATAGCAATTTACTATTAACAGTAAGCCTAATGTGCTTCTTCACACTAAAGTCGTGGCTTGATGGAATGGACATTAGGTTTTTCGGTAAACTCCCTCCACCACGGAACTCTATGTAAAGCACCAGGTGTTTGGACAATGGAACTGTAAAGGTTCTCATAGATCTAATAAAAAGTAAATAAAAATGTGGCATTGGATATGGCTCTATATATAAGTTGTACAAAGCTAAATATTTTATTTAATTATCGTACTGACTAAAATAAAACATAATTGTAGAAATACTGAAGTCAGATGACTATAACAGTTTTATACTACAGTTGAAATCATAGTCTGTTAATGTTAAAATCATAAAAGCTGTAGGATTCTTAAGCCTATGACAGCACCCACATTTTAACAGTTATAGAGATAACACGGTCGTAAAAATAAGATTTTTAATTTTTGATAGGTTGTTTAGGCAGAGTATTCGTAATGAATCTAAGTTTCAAATGGACAGCAACTGGCTATTGTAGAAACCTACAAATGTAGAGGATGACGTTTCG